CCTGAAATACTGCTCCTTCCCTTCCCTCCTGAAATAATGCCCCTTCCCTCCTGAAATACTGCCCCTTCCCTCCTGAAACATTCCCTCTCCTCCCTGAAACACTACCTCCTCTCTCCTGAAATACTGCCCTTTCCCTCCTGAAAAACTGCCTCTTCCCCCCGAAACACTACCCCCTCCCTCCTGAAATACTGCCCTTTCCCTCCTGAAATACTGCCTCTTTCCCCAAGAATACTGTCCCTTCCCTCCTGAAATACTGCCCCTCCCCCCTCAGATAATGTCCCCTATCTCCTGATATACTACCCTTTCATCTTGAAATGCTATCCTTTCCCTAATGAAATGCTATCCCCTTTCTCCTGAAATATTGTCCCTTTCCTTACAAAACACTGCCCCCTCCTTGCTGGAATAACTTTCCTCTCTTGTGGTGTCCATTACTGTGGGGATAGGATATGACTTACACACCTATGATCTCAGATAGATCCAATAGTCCCCCATTGATCTCAGATGAGCCCAAATAGTACCCTTATGGTCCTAGAGGGTGCAAATAGTCCACATTTTAAGTCCAATTTCTTTCTAGCAATTGCAATAAAACGGAGTAGATGTAAAACCAAAAGTGTTCTCCTAGTTTTACCGGAATAGATTGCCAACTAATGCTGGCTTCAGTATGTACTTAAGTCTTTTGAACTTTAATCTAATTTCTTGATTTATCTGTTATTTTCACTACCCAGAACTCTAGACTGATATTCTTGCCCCAAAACTCTTCATTACTTTATAACACTTATAGACATGTCACAATCATAAATGTTCCCATGGTAACGAAAAACCCACATCAACCATGTGACCTCACATTATCTCCCTTTCCCCCCCCCCCAACACATGAGTTTCCAAAAAACACCTTCTTTCAGAACTCTTATCCACTCTACTTCATACACTCAACTAAACCTTCTCCAATCTTTATCCCTGCCTCCTGTCCTCTTAACACTCCTAACTCTTCATTTCCATTACCCTATTTAGGTATGACATACATTACATCTCTACAACTACATTTCTGTATATCTGCTTCTCCTTCCCTCACATTTATTTAGTATACCTCCTTCATTTCTTTGTCTCCTTGTGCACTTCCCTTTTGTTTCTTCGATCCGTACACCTCACTCTATATAAATCCTCAATCCCTATAAACCTCCCCTGGTTAAGATCCCTATGAATCTCCCCTGGTTAAGATCCCTATGAACCTCCTCTGGTTAAGACCCCTATGAACATCCCCTGACTAAGATCCCTATGAACCTCCCCTGGTAAGTATCCCTATGAACATCCCCTGGTTAAGATCCCTATGAACCTCCCCTGGTTTGGATCCCTATAAACCTCCCCTGGTTAAGATCCCTATGAACCTCCCCTGGTTAAGATCCCTATAAACCTCCCCTGGTTAAGACCCCTATAAACCTCCCCTGGTTAAGACCCCTATGAACCTCCCCTGGTTAAGATCCCTATGCACCTTGCCTGGTTAAGACCCATATGAACCTCCCCTGGTTAAGAACCCTATGAACCTCCCCTGGTTAAGATCCCTATAAACCTTCCCTGGTTAAGACCCCAATAAACCCCCTGTAATTAATATCCCTATACAATGGCCTGTCCCTTCCTTCCTTCTTTTCCCATTCACTAAACCTTTCACACATTTTCTCCATTTTACAGTACATACAAAAGTAAACCTTCTCTTGGCCACCTATGGGCACATCTCCCTGACACACTCTCCGTAGTAAAGTATGGTCAGACTCATTTTGTTCCCCCTCCCAATTACCACTAGCACTCCTCCAACAGAGCTGGTTGGGTGGGGAGGGTGAGGAGGGTGCTTTAGCCCCTCTCAGTTATAAGTCTCTGGCCTCTAACAGAGCTGGTTCGGTGAGGAGGGTGCTTTACCCCCTCCCAGTTACAAGTCTCTGGCCTCTAACAGAGCTGGTTCGGTGAGATTGGTGGTGCTTTACCCCCTCCCAAATATAAGTCTCTGGCCTCTAACAGAGCTGGTTTGGTGAGGAGGGTGCTTTACCCCCCTCCCAGTTATAAGTCTATGGCCTCTAACAGAGCTGGTTCGGTGAGGAGGGTGCTTTACCCCCTCCCAGTTATAAGTCTCTGGCCTCTAACACAGCTTGTTGGGTGGGGAGGGTGAGGAGTGAGGAGGGTGAGGAGGGTTCTTTACCCCCCTCCCAGTTACAAGTCTCTGGCCTCTAACAGAGCTGGTTCGGTGAGATTGGTGGTGCTTTGCCCCCTCCCAAATATAAGTCTCTGGCCTCTAAAAGAGCTGGTTTGGTGAGGAGGGTGCTTTATCCCCCTCCCAGTTATAAGTCTATGGCCGCTAACAGAGCTGGTTCGGTGAGGAGGGAGCTTTACCCCCTTCCAGTTATAAGTCTCTTGCCTCTAACAGAGCTGGTTTGGTGAGGAGGGTTCTTTACCCCCCTCCCAGTTATAAGTCTATGGCCTCTAACAGAGCTGGTTCGGTGAGATTGGTGGTGCTTTGCCCCCTCCCAAATATAAGTCTCTGGCCTCTAACAGAGCTGGTTCGGTGAGGAGGGTGCTTAACCCCCCTCCCAGTTATAAGTCTCTGGCCTCTAACAGAGCTAGTTCGGTGAGGAGGGTGCTTTACCCCCTCCCAGTTATAAGTCTCTGGTCTCTAACAGAGCTTGTTGGGTGAGGAGGGTGCTTTACCCCCTCCCAGTTACAAGTCTCTGGCCTCTAACAGAGCTGGTTCGGTGAGGAGGGTGCTTTACCCCCTCCCAGTTATAAGTCTCTGGCCTCTAACACAGCTTGTTGGGTGGGGAGGGTGAGGAGTGAGGAGGGTGAGGAGTGAGGAGGGTGAGGAGGGTTCTTTACCCCCCTCCCAGTTATAAGTCTCTGGCCTCTAACACAGCTTGTTGGGTGGGGAGGGTGAGGAGTGAGGAGGGTGAGGAGGGTGCTTTACCCCCTCCCAGTTACAAGGCTCTGGCCTCTAACAGAGCTGGTTTGGTGAGGAGGGTTCTTTACCCCCCTCCCAGTTATAAGTCTCTGGCCTCTAACAAAGCTGGTTCGGTGAGGAGGGTGCTTTACCCCCTCCCAGTTATAAGTCTCTGGCCTCTAACAAAGCTGGTTTGGTGAGGAGGGTTCTTTACCCCCCTCCCAGTTACAAGTCTCTGGCCTCCAATCTCTCTGAAGTCTTGTCAGGACTTGATCTATATGCTGACAGAAAGTTAGAACATTTATGATCACATAACACATATGGATCTGAAATGGTGCCTTTAACATTCCAAGTGTATGTGTTAGCAGTTCTATATACACAAACCTCAGAGATAAGTCTTTCCGTTCCTTGTTTTTCAGAGGAGCTTGCCTCAAAATAGTGACAGATATTTAGTATAATATATAAGCCTGTCTATACTTAGGCCTAACAAAACAATAGGTTCGTTTCCTGATGTTTATTAGTATTTTTCTAGTCTATCCTGAAATTGTTATAAGGTAATTTTAAACAATTATACTATAAGACCTCAATACAAAGCCCTGCGTTCCATTTGCCACCTCATTTACTATAAAAAAAAATCAGGGTCGGTTTACCTTTTTTTCAGAATAGTTATTACTTTATATTGCCAACACTTTATAACAATGAAAAACGTTTGCCGAAAGCTATTGGCAGTAGAAGACTTTCTCCTGTATATAAGTAACAGTTTTACTGACTAAGCATGAAACACAACGAAACTTTTTGCCTGTCGTTAAACACAACAATGGTTTTGTTTGCCTAAATAGATTTTAACAAGAAGCATGAAACACAGCAATCGTTTTGTTTTGCCTAAATAGATTTTAACAAGAAGCATGAAACACAGCAATCGTTTTGTTTTGCCTAACATACAGCTCCTATACCTTAGTCATTACACTTCAAAAGTTAACATAAAAATGTCTAAATCTGCGGTAGTTTTATTGTCCTGACTAGGTCATTCTGCTCTGACATTAGAGACTCTGGGTATATCTCATAAAAAGTTCTTCATTACAAAACACTTCTAACATATACCATCCATGATATTGGATCTTGCATCCCTTTGTTCTTCGGGGATAAATTTCTTTGTATTTAGGTTTCTCTCATTTTCTATCATGAATTAAGCAAGTCAAGTTAGTTAAAAAGCAGTTTTCATTCTATCAATAGTTAAAAAGTATGTTATTAAGACAAATTTTTTAAAACTTCATTATAAATTTTTCTTCAGCAAATCTTACAAGCATTGTCAGCTTTTTTCATTATTCCTCTGTATCATTTGACCCTTTATCTTGAGAATCACATGACAGTCACATGATACCTATACATAGATTTTATAGACAAAAAAACACCATATGCTTTGGTCATCACAATATATATCTCTAATTTGTGGCTGATTAAACAAGTTATTTATTTACTCCATGTTTCAAAATGAAAAATTCCATCAAAAAATAAATAATTAAGTTCAAAGGAAATTATAATATAGTTTTGTAATGTTGTCTTTTGAACATGCATGATTATTTTAAGTCATCAAAACAAGAATTTGATTTTCTTTTTTGTTTTTAATCTGAATAACGTTAATGATTTTTCATAATTTCATAATATCACTAATCTAAGCAAGAAGGCTTTGATACTAGCTAGCTGTGATATCATTTTGCAAACATGTTATATAAACAATTCTAAAACTTGAAACTACACCTGCAACCATCACCATATAATTGCTTTTGACTCTAAAATCTGGTTGAATCTTGTATAACAGTTTAGGAAGGGACAAACTATAACCAAAAGCTATCTTAAAAGTTTTAAACTGAAAATATAATTGTTCAAAAATTGCTATGGTAAATTACACTCTCAACACTACCCTAACACAACTGTCAAAATGACTTCAATTATTTTACAAAATTATAAATATTGAAATGTGTAAGATGAAGATTATATAATATTATCATTACATACATTTAATAATCCTACTAGAATATAAATTGTCAACATGCTTGATAACTGCAGGAACAATTTTTACCTGTTTTCCTGTTTTTGCTTCGCTTCATCCTTAAGGTGTTAAAATCCCAAAAGACACCACACAAATGAATGCCCTCTGATATTGGCTACAGCAGCAGAGCCCCTGGGGATAGGAGACACCCTAGACTTACAGTAAACACTAAATCCCCTGGCGTGGGGAAAAGTCTGTGACCTAGGGTACACGGCACAAAAGTTAAGTCAGGAGTCCTTAACACCACCCAGTCGGACTTAAACACCAATTTGCAGAAGTAACTGAAAATGTTTGAAGTTAAGAAAAATCCAGTGCATAGTTTTTGTGTGTAATCCTGGCCACATCCCCGTTCTAACATCAAAGTGGCTCTATAGCTGTCCCCATGAAGTATGAGTGATCCGTCTCTCCCCAACACTTCAGTACCCCCCAGCAGCCTATCACCGTCTGTTACTGTTCCCCCTCCTTGATTTGAGTAAGCTCTGATTTCCAGTGCTGCCGTACCTACCCACTAGATTGTGTTACCTCGATGGGTAGGACTGGAGGCTGTCTGTCAACTTTGACAATCATCCTCCATTAGTCTGCCTTTATTTTTCAACACTATAATTTATACAGAGGTATCCCGTGATGTTTACATTGGTAGTATGGGGTAAGATAGTGTTATGACGCTGGAGGCCTGATACATATCAATTCTCACTTCTTATAAACTACTGACAGACAACACACTTTTATCCTCTTTCTACAGCCCCCTTACACCTTCCCCTCACTACAGCCCCCTTACACCCTCCCCCCACTACACCCTTCCTCCACTACACCCTCCCTCTCCAAACCTTACATTTCTCCCCATCCCTCTGTCCTTCACAACCCTTACCATGGACCTTTCATCACGGTTCTATCCTGAACCCATTAAGCTCATCTATTTCTTTACACCTACAGGGTTTACACCGGAGGAACATGATAAAACCCATCAACTTTCTCCTGCTATTAAACCCTAGCACTCAAAAACGAAAATTAGCGATCAATTTTATGGAAATATTTATCAAATAATTTGAATAATAATCTGTCATAAATGTGCTCCACCATTTGCCTGAATTGGATGCTTTGCAATATGAATGATGAAAAAACCCAAATCAAGAACTCCGGAAATAGCAATACTGAATATATGTATAATGTTTTGTAATCTCGCCGTTTATACAAATCCTCAAGGTGAAGGTCACAAAAAATGGGAAATCATAGATTATCAATCTTCATTGTGAAGGCCATAAGAAATGTGAAGTCACAAAGCATCAGCGGTGAAGATTATAAAGATTATCAATCTTCAAGGTGAAGGTCAAAAAGGTTGTTTTTAAACCACTCAGAATAACACGAGATGGTAACTTATGGTCTCTCTCCTGCCAGATTTGTCAGACAAATTTAATAGTGTGATATGAAGAAATTCACATGACCCAACAGATGTAAAACAAAGATACGCAGAACAGATGACAGATCTTTAGGTAAACATAGTAAACACATGCGTCTTATGACAACAACAACATTTCACACCACAAATAATCTTAAAAGAGTTCCAAAGAAAAACCTAAAAAAAAAACAAAACATTTTGCAGAAATTGCAAAAACAACAGATGTTAAATCTAAAACTTCAGATCTTAACAGAAAAAATGTCAGTGTTTGAACAATTGATAGGAAAAGTTCAGAGGTCAACTATGCATGATGTATGATGTGCTTGTGGGGGTCTGGAGAAGGTGTGAAATGAGACGAGACTATATTATACTGCAATCCATAGTCTAGCACCTTGTCAGACCGCGAGGGGATAAACTTAGAAATTGTTCATGATTATCAGAACATTTGTGCTTCCATCTTCTACGAAGGTGTAATAATGAGAGAAAGTTTCAATTTGGTATGGGTTATTTTTTGCCTCACCATTTGAAAACGGATTTGTTCCATCTTGTGTAAATTAATATTTCCTAAATGCATATAAACTAGTAATTTGAGAAACTCTAAAGAGTCAATCAATTTCTTAACCTCAAAAACTGGTAAGTTGAAGAGCACCTTAACCATTGTAAGAAAATCTCCTGTATCTAGCCTGCTATATTCATAGCTTTCACTGATGTCCTGGATCATATTCAGTTTTGATGATTTTTCTTTTAAATTGTCCTTTTTACGATTTTTTCCCCAGACTATGACGCATTCCTGGATACTTCATATGGTAATACATTTTGCCCTTTGGGTTTTAAAAATATATTCTCTCAGATTCCAAATCTTGTTTCAGTTGGTGACTTAATTTTATGTAGGTATCATACAAATTGTTTACTCCCTATTGAATTCGATGGGGAAAAGTCAAAAATAGAAAGTGGGACCAAAATAAAATGGGAGACAAAAATGGGCAGATTTTACAATTATCATTTAATGTACAATGATTAAAGCAAGAACGTAAATGTCTCTTTATTGTTCCTGAAGACAATTTACCAGACAGAAACATTATGTAGGTGACATTTTAGATCCAGCCGTTGGAACGGTTTCCTGTACATAGCAGTAACACAAATGGTGGAAATACCACGCCATGTTTGTGAATTGTGCAATTTAAGTTGACTTGACCTTTTTATATTCAAACAGCACAGGAAGACAAAATGAAGAATCAATTTAAGTTAATATATGTAAAGTATTTCAATCATTTCAGTTACGGTACTGCGGGCTTATACTGAATCGTGAATGACTGCTACGTTCACAGAATAGCAAACTGTAGTTGGTAGACAATCTTCCGTCTTCACAATGAAGCAATTCAAATGGACAAAAAATCCCACAGAAGCCATTACACATTCAGCAAATAATGGAGAAATTTCTTTGATAGTCCAATAGATTCCAAAACCTGTTAGAGACTATTACATTACCGAGATTAATAGAGAGCGATTACCACACTTAGTACTGATGTGCTGCATATATTCCAACCACATCTAATATTTAAGGTGCATCTCCCAACTGATTGTAAAGAAAAAATATTTTATGAGGTTAAAGGATAGAAGATTTTGGGCTGGCTACCCTCAGGTTATCTACCCATTGCCATTGTAACTAGCACAAATTTTTCTTTTGACTCTTTATTTAAGTCTGAAATTTTTTAGAAAATGTCTGTAAGACATAAATGCCCCCGCTCATGGATGGGATAGGACGCGACAGGACGGGACGCGATGTGAAGCGATGTGACGGGACTGGACAGCCATGGGCAACACTATATGCCCCCCCCATTTTATGTCGGGGGCATATAAAAATCATTAAAAACATTCTTTACATCATAAAATACTGCAGAGTAACCTCCCTTTGGTGTAACACTAGAGCATATCACTATGCGGAATTGCCAAACTGACAAAAAGACCTGCTGGGTTACTGAGGGTGTTAGTTGGCCTTCAATTCCAGGACAAATGTTTATCACAGGAGACAGAAGTAATACGTCACAATTACAGTCACAAAATAACAGGTTTTGGGGGGAAAATCTTGACCCTTCATCCCCAAACTGGTCCTTATTTCATTACGACTTCCTTGATGTAGCAATACTGTCCATTGACTGACAGAAAGTTTGGTACAAATGCATTTGTTTCGTACCTAGAATCCCATGAATAAAAGTCAAACACTCGTTTTTATGTTTTTACATCATTTTGTATGCTTCGACATCCATTCTGATGCAACAGAAACCTGCAAATCATATAATGCCTGCATCAGGTCATGTCGTACAGAAACACAAATTTATCAGAGGATGGAAAATGATACAGAATTCGTAGGGCAGTTCTCCTTATCTTTATAGAAAAGTCCCTCTTTTTGACATTTAAATGTACATGTTTATGTATTAAATATTTCATTGAAATATAACAAAATACAAACAACTCACAGATATTTTGCACGAATCTATATGGGAAAGCGAGGAAGTTTCATTGTGACATTTGAATCTATGGTATCATAGATGTATATATACAATTAAGTATGCAGACGGGTGTAAAATGTCTGGTTTTGTTTTGAATTCTTCAAGCCCTGAAGTCACAATTTTTTTAGGCCAGAACTCACTGCCCATTGTAGTATGTAATAAATCATTTTATAGCTTTACCTGTCAAATATGACTTCAACTGTAATACTGCAGAACCTGTCCAAACTGACCATGACAGTTTATTATTTACCAGTTATACAGCAGAACCTGTCCACACTGACCATTGCAGTATGTGATTCACCAGTTATACAGTAAAACCTTTCCAAACTGACCATTGCAGTATGTGAATCACTAGTTATACAGCAGAACCTGTCCACACTGACCATTGCAGTATGTGATTTACTAGTTATACAGCAGAACCTGTTCACACTGACCATTGCAGTATGTGATTAACTAGTTATACAGCAGAACCTGTCAAAACTGACCATTGAAGTATGTGATTCACTAGTTATACAGCAGAAACTGTCCAAACTGACCATTGAAGTATGGGATTCACTAGTTATACAGCATAACCTGTCCACACTGACCATTGCAGTAGGTGATTCACTAGTTATACATCAGAACCTGTCCACACTGACCATCGCAGTATGTGATTCACCAGTTATACAGCAAAACCTTTCCAAACTGACCATTGCAGTATGTGATTTACTAGTTATACAGCAGAACCTGTCCACGCTGACCATTGCAGTATGTGATTCACAAGTTATACATCAGAACCTGTCCACACTGACCATTGCAGTATGTGATTAACTAATTATACAGCAGAACCTGTCCACACTGACCATTGCAGTATGTGATTCACCAGTTATACAGAAAAACCTGTCCAAACTGACCATTACAGAGTATGATTCAATAGCTCTATAGCGGAACCTGTCCAAATACAATAATTAAAAAAGCAATTAATTAATATCATGAAGAAAACATATAGAAAGTAAACCCTGACAATGTTAACACTGAAATGCACTGATGTCTTTGTAACATTAAATATATTCTGAATGTTATCATCACAGTGTGGGAGAGAAAGGTCCCCTAACACGTGATGGTTGGTTATCATGTTTATCTAACTCTCATTAGTCAATTTTCAAATTATAAAAGACACTCGGTTAAACTCGTATCTTTATACAATTTGAAGATTAACTAACTCGAGTTAGATAAACAGGATAACCAACCACCACTCGTTGTGGGACCTCTATGTACATACCACGTAGTCGGATCTAAAGTAAACAATGATACCAACAGGGAGTTTTTTTGATTAACAGACTAAAATAGCAATTTTAATCACGATGAAATACATGATTTTATTGACATTGAATGCAAAAATGATTTCTATTGATGACGAATTACAATAGCACCTTTATTATCGGGAGACACGAAGATGCTGATTTACATTCTGTTATAACAATGAATTAAAATAACAATTCATTCAACTAATGATTTTTATTGATGAAGAATAAATTCTTATCTAACA